CCGATCGTTTCGTGTCTTTACACATCAATGTATCGTCACGAGCCTTCATGTTTCGAGCATATCTAAACATTGAATCTAGCTATTTTTAAATGCACAAGACCTTTAAATTTGAATGAAGTCTGATTGGCTGTCAGTGTTTTATTGTTAATCAGCTGTAAAAAAAAATGGCGGTGGCTAAGTGTAAATAGCATATTTTCTTAGTGATAGATGCTATTTACACTAAGTGCAAATAGCAATGGATTCTATTTACACTAAATGAAAATAGCGATAGATTCTATTTACACTATGCAAAAATATGATTTTTTTTTTTTTAAATAATAGTAGTTACATGCTGTTTTGCAGGGCTATTCAATTGGCGGCTATTCAATCATCTTCATCCGGCCCGAGGGAAGAGTACGTGCTGGTTGCACATATGCCTTGAATTGTTTTTGCACTACAATCTACCGGAGACCGCAACATCAACATACGTCAGCATTGACAAGTGCTTGTGTGAGGGGCTTATGAGATATCCACAACTCTAGTTTAAACGAGTATAAAGAAGTAAAGAAGTGTTATCGGTTATAACTTCTGGCGAGAAATCGTGCAGACACTGGATGAGGACGATTATCATATATGGAGTATAGTTTGAAAGTCTCTGTATTTGCTGTATGTTTGCTGTAGCCTACGCAGTGCTGGCGCTACCTAATAAGCGATATAAGCGGTTGCATAGGGCCAAAGAGTGGCTCGCTTATTAACTTTTGTAGCTTGATTAAAAATTGATCTATAGTTTATGCATTTACAGTTTATAGTTTATGTGAAGATTGTTTTAAGTTCATTTAAATTAAAAGTTAAGGAGACATCAGTAGCATTATTGGTAGGCCTGTCAGTGATACTGGTCTTCATTAATAACAGGCGACTTAGTAAAAAGATGCCATTAAACACATTTAAAATATACCATCTTTATGTTGTTTCTACATTCATTTGGAGGTTCAATGTGAAATTATTACAATATAAATATATTAATATGTGATTAATCATGATTAATTACAGAAAAATGTGAGATTAATTAGTTAATTTTTTTAATCGATTGACAGCACTATTGTTAACCTTTTATAGATGTTACTGTTTGAGATATTAGTTCATTTTACTGCTGAATATGCATTTTAATTTAATTTCTAATTTCATAGGCTCCCCTGAAAGAGATCGGGATGGCCCCCCACCCCCTTCAAATTTTCAGTTCGATAATCCGGCCCTCAAATGAAGCTAATTGAAGAGCCCTGACTTAGTGAAAATAGTGACAGATATCTGCACCAAATCAAAAAAGCCCAACCATAAAGTCTCTATGACAGTTTTGTTCCTCAGTATGTTTCCTCTTTTAATGTACATTAAGCCTGAGGGTTTTATCTTCCGATAAGATCTCATCACAACTTTAAGCATGAGAATTTTAAACATGGTGATACACGACAGGGAAGGCTGACTGTTCTGAGACTATAGCTTTACCAAAACCACTGCCAGCACATAACTTGATAGGCAATTGTTTATGAGTGCATAATGTGTTTAAATGTCATTGTAACTGCAATCGGAGAGCAGAGACCACCTGTAAAGTGAGTTAAGGGGCTTGACATTAATATCAGGGAACTATGGTTACATGCGTAACCTGAGACGTTTTCTTACAGAGAATAATTGAATACGGAGTACTGAATAATTCTGACTGCTGTCACATTGCTTCTGATATAGCTGCACTTTTGTGAGCTCCATTGATATTACATTTTACTGAATGAGTTACTGAGCATCTTTCTGAGAATTTGTTAGTCTACGTGCTGTTAATTTTTCAGATTTATTAAAATACCTGATGATATTAAGTTATAAAAGATTAGAAATTAGGAAAAAAAGAGAACGATTTAGCAGTTTTAGTGATTAAGTGACCATAGTCATTATTACTATGAAATTCTATAAAAACTTCAAGAGGAAATTCAAGGGGAAAGTTGGTTAGGGTGCTATTTGGAAAATACTTCAAAAGCACAATAAGCCATTTTATCCTAATGTTATATTGCTAAACAATTTCAAGAGTAGTTTCATGAATGCTAGGATGAAGTCCAGTTCCTTCTATTGTCTCCTCAATCACCAGATCTAAATGTGTTTGAAATGAAAGCGGAAAATGTTACGTCACCAATTACGCTTAGATCAAACCAATCATCATCTAACATTTGGAGTATATAAGATCGGTACTTACACATGTTTGAGTTCTCAGATGATGACGCCAACATTCACCCCCATCCTCCCCTCCACCACCAGGATGGTCCCTGTCCATACTTTCCTGGGGGTTTGCTGCGCCCCTGCCTTCATCTTCAGGCAGGAAGTGCAAGAGTTAGCAACCCTCTGGATGCAAGCTACAGACGGGACCTATGCCAAATAACTTTATCACATTTATATTTTGTTTTAGTTTGTTGGTCTGTTGTTAAATAAATATTATGTCATCTTGCCTCCCGAGTCTTTCTGGTAGAACTTTTAATCAGTGGTTCTGAAGAACAGAATAAATTTCTACATCCTTCATCTCTCAGTGAGCAGTATCCAACTAAATAAATGTCTGGAATTGTAAGAAATCGTTTTAAAACAATCCAAATAGTAAAGGCATTGGAGATATTTGATACTACGCTACCTAATCAACAGTCCTTGATATTACATTGTTAATTGTGTTCACCTTGTTGTACAAACACTTTATCTCTCTCTATTTTGATGCATAGAAGACTACAAAATGAGTAGAAGCTATGCGTTATGACAAAACTTCATGATTAGGCTGCAGTATAGTCATGTCTCTTCCTTGAGGTTAATTTCTCAGCAGAAGAATGTTTACCCCAAACCTTTTCATCTTCATACCTGTAACGTTTATTATTATTTATTAGCTCTAAAAAGGGGAATATTTATGACGAATCATAAATGGTTATGATTCCACAAAACTATATCCTCCTTCTCATAGCTAAACATTTAAAGACAAGTGTCTCAGCTGGATTGCATAAGATGCATGAGGTCAGTTCACAGAAGCAGAACTGGTAAAGCTACATTCTTGCCCAGTCTGAGACAATAACAAGCTACTGACCAGACAAACTAGTGAGTTCAAGAACATGGACTGTCCATGAGCTTATTGGAGACCAACATGAACATCTGTTACGTCCCAGGAAGTATTTGTTTTGTTGTTGTTGTTGTTGTTCTCTCTCTCTCTCGTAATGGCCGCCACCTGTCACCAATGATTGGCCGTTAACACTGACAGGAGGATGAAAGGGAGCAGTGGAGATTTAAGCAGCATTTCCACCACAGAACGTGTGGTTGTGTGTGTGGAGGCTCTGTTGTGAATTTTCTCTCCCCTTGCTTTTCAAGGGTTTCTTGTTTATGAACCATATTTTTTAGTGATGGTGAAGTGAAGCGTTCTGAACCTGTGAAGCTTTCATCACAATTGTATCGGAAAAAGGTTCATTACTCGAAGCTTTTTTTAAACTGTTTATGCTGTGGCCATCTAGTGGTCATAAAAATAAATAACACCTTCCAAAGTGTCATGTTCCATTACAGCCAGTGGTTTCACATCTGGTTCCACAACTGATTTTTTGTTTTATTATATTTTATATGAATAATGTTTATTGTCAAAGTCATTCATTTGTGTCGGTGTACTCGCACTAAAATAAATAAAACATAAATCCATATATTAAATCTATGATCTGTTTAATTTAACTCTACCTCAGTCCTTAGACTGATATTTCATGGCCAAAGTTAATTTTTGAGCTCAATATAGAAATTACGATTAAAAAACAAACAAACAAAAAACGAAGTTTTTTCCATTTCTGTCACTGGTGGAGTTTTGGTCGCCTTTGGCTTGCTTAGTTGGGGATGCTTGACTGACTGCACAGACACTATTGGAAGAGAGCTGAACTGGATGATGACATCACTGAATCATCAATGAACTGACTTTAACTTGAAAAATGACTGTTTGTTATTGTCCTCTTGCGTTATTGACTAACTATTTTCCTGTTTGCCACTGTAAAGCTGCTTTGGCACAATCTGTATTGTATAAAGTTTTATACAAATAGAGGTGACTTAACTAGACTGTTTGTTTAATCTAAACTGCTTGTGCTGATACAAAGACTAATGTTAGTACTGTTAGTTTCATTTCAGTGCAGTTCTCATAACTGACAATTGCACTCTCTTCCTCTTCAGCATCACTGACTTGAATGAAATAAACATCACAACAGACAATAGCAACAACAATGTTTTCCATCGAAAATATTTCATAACGTTCAATGGCAGAAGTGAAAGTATGATGCTTCTCAAGGAAATAGACAGAAGCCATAAACCTTGATGGGATGGACCTCCATCATGTCCCAACCATTCATCCATCTTTTGTGTATATGCAGGTCATACAGCAGCACGACTATCAACAATGACATTGCTCTGCTGAAACTGTCGTCTCCAGTCACACTGACTCCCCGTATCTCTCCTGTATGTCTGGCTCCATCAACCATCAACATTCTGCCTGGAACCCGCTGCTTCACCACTGGCTGGGGTAGAACTGCCACCACGTGTAAGTCATCTGTAAAACAAAAACATACTGAGAGAATTACAACACATCTGTTTACTGTGCAATGCAATGTGTCATGTTTTCTTCTTTTTTAGCGAGCCCTCTGATCCTACAGCAAACAGGTGTACCCATCATAAGTCCTGCTGTGTGCAGGCAGATCTGGGGTCAGAGCACTATCACTGATGCCATGATCTGTGCTGGAGGAACTGGATCATCATCTTGCATGGTACATGAAGACAAATCAAGACAAACATGATTAACATATCAGTGTTGCTGCTGTTCAATCTCAAATGTGTGTTTTCCACAGGGTGATTCTGGTGGTCCTCTGGTGTGTGAGCGTTCAGGGGTCTGGTCTCTGGTGGGCTCTGTGTCCTGGGGAAGAAACACTTGTGACACCCGTTTCCCTGCAGTCTACGCCCGCATCTCCCAACTGCGCTCCTACTCTACCTAATCAGCATCCCATGATATTACGTAATTTTATTTTATTTATTTTTTTACATTATTTGTATGTAAACTGTCCGAACACTTTAATTATTTCTATTTTGATGTACAGAGGACTGCAGAATGAGTAGAAGTTAAATCATTATGACAAAACTTCATGATCAGTCAATCAACAGACAGAAGGCAGACTGCATATGTAAAGTTGGGCTTCTTCACTGATGACCAAAACAATGATTTCCAATAAGCTGTAGTGTTTTTAAAACATTTTTATATTTACCATGTCTTTCTCAGTTCTGTGAACTGTCAAAAACCAGCAAGTTAATCCGGCTCATCTAGCTCTAAACAATGTGGTTTGGTCAGATTAGGGGCGTGTCTAAAGCATTTTAAATGGAAGTGGGCTGGGTGGGGGCGCCAGGCAGGCTGGGGCACTGCCTCAAAAGAGGGTGGCCGCAATGACCAAAATGAGCGTGATGAGAAGAAGAAGAAAAAACACTGTAGAATCTATGGTACACTATTAAGAGGTGCTAACCAGCAAATGTTATTTTAGGGAGCTATTTATTTTATTTTATCACTGTAACCGTATGTGTAGGTTAATTAGGTTAATATTTTGGGTTGAATAAAATCAAATAAATTAGATGTTACCACATGAGAAATTGTACATATTCAATGAAAAAAAACCACTTAAAGGGTCTTAAAGGCTTTACTCAAATGAAAACATTTTCATCCTCCTCCAGCCATGCTGGTTTTGTGTCATATCTAAAGGCTGCAACAGACACCAGTTTTTATTCCGTGCTGAGTTATACAGTCAAATCCTAGATCAAATCCATTCAAAATGCAGAACATTTGTTTTTCGGCTACACACACGTTGCAAATTTCGGGAATGACATCTGCATATTTATGCTGGATTCACTCTCGAAATAGCAGTGGTTGACATTATAACTATAGCAATGGATGGGACAAAATATGTGAAAATGTGCATTAAGACTAGAGCACCCTCACTAATTTCAGAAGCACCCTCAGTGATTTAAATCTGGAAGCGCGCCTGGTTGATACGCGTTTATTGTAGAATTATAGGCTATACAAAAACAACAACACGTGCACTAAATAAAATAATTTAATAAATACATATTTACAATAAGCACTTAACTCAAATAAGTATTAAATAATAAAATAAATAACTAAGGCTGACTACAATCAGCTTGCTTCCATTTAGTGGGCTAAGCCTACTCACCTGAATTTAAAAAAAGCTCTTCTGGTCTTCAGTGATGCAAGAACAAAGTTTGAGCGTGCACACTCAATATCTGAGAGAGCAGAGCCAATTCATAAGAGAAGACTGTATATTTAAAACGCACGTCCAGTTTAGTGTGAGAGCGAAGGAAATTCGCTTGCGAGTGGAGAACTTTGTGCTCGCGCATTACATGGATGCGCTATCGCGTTACATTACTGCGCTCTGGACATTTGTCATATAACGCTATAGAAACCGCCAAAATTAAGTATATAGAAGAAAAGAAAGCCGCCTTAGGCAGCTGCATATATTGCCCATGCCAGGATCCCCCACTGTCAGAAGCAGCTTTACACATACGAGGAATTTGTTTTCGTGACAGTCCTGAATTTAAAAAAAGCTCTTCTGGTCTTCAGTGATGCAAGAACAAAGTTTGAGCGTGCACACGCAATATCTGAGAGAGCAGAGCCAATTCATAAGAGAAGACTGTATATTTAAAAGCGCACGTCCAGTTTAGTGTGAGAGCGAAGGAAATTCGCTTGCGAGTGGAGAACTTTGTGCTCGCGCATTACATGGATGCGCTATCGCGTTACATTACTGCGCTCTGGACATTTGTCATATAACGCTATAGAAACCGCCAAAATTAAGTATATAGAAGAAAAGAAAGCCGCCTTAGGCAGCTGCATATATTGCCCATGCCAGGATCCCCCACTGTCAGAAGCAGCTTTACACATACGAGGAATTTGTTTTCGTGACAGAAGCTTCCGCAGTGTAACAGAATGACAGTGACAGAACAAAAAAATAAAAATAAATAAAAAATAAAAAAATAGAATAAGTAAATAAGGAATAAAAATATACAAATCGACAATTGTATGTATAGGTATATAAGAATAGACAGTTGTACATGTACAGGTATATTATGTGCAAATTGAAATGTAGACAGAGTATGTGTGTTAGATAAATAAGTGTATGAGTGAATAAATAGTGTGTGTTCCAAAGTTATACTCCAGTGCTGATGGTGTGGGTGTTGGATGTGAGTTTTCCCAGCCTCACTATCTGCTGTCTGTCTGTCAGACGGACGCGGGCACGGAGAGCTGAGTTAGTTTGGGCAGGAGGAGGTTTGGGATGATGGTGTTAAAGGCCGAGCTGAAGTTCATGAACAGGATCCTCACATAAGTCCCTGGTCTGTCTAGATGTTGCAGAACATAATGCAATCCCATGTTGACTGCATCGTCCACAGACCTGTTTGCTCTGTAGGCAAGTTTATATATATATAAAAAAATAAATAAAATAACATAAATAAATAATAATAATAACAAGATAATATCAAGGACCGCTGATTATGTAGAGTAGTATCAAATATCTCCAATTCCTTTACTATTAAACCAATGTTGGTTTGTTTTTAAATATTTGCTTACTATTCCAGACATGTATTTAGTTAAATACTGCATGATTTTTCATAAACAAAAGCGTCTTGCTCATTAAGGGATGAAGGATGTAGAAATGTATTCTGTTCTTCTGAATCACTGATTAAAAGTTCAATTATATTTAGACCTGGTGAATGAGGGGCCAGCGATCTTCATCCTAGCCTTCATGAATCCACTTTTGAATTTGTTTAGCAATATAACCTTAAGTGAAAATGGCTTATTATGCTTTTGAAGTGTTTTACATAATCAACTTTATGAAGCTTTCTGTGTTTGACAGAAGAAGAATTTCCCCTTGAAGTAATTTTATAGTATTAATGACAATGAAAATAATGACAGTATTACAATTTCAGTTCATGAGGTATTTTTAAGTCATCCACCTAACATAGCTTAACAAATAATCAGAAAGATGCTCAGTAACTCATTCAGTAAAATTAAATTTAAAAAATGAGCTCATGAAAGTGTAGATAAATCTGATGCAATCCGATATCAATCAGCATTATTCCGTACTTCAGAAGCAAACATGTCTTCTGCTATGAGTTTAATTTTAGTGATTGTCTGAATAAGTAAATGGAACGTCAGTGTCTGTCATATTCTAATGGCAACTTTTCTCTTCAGGTTTCTTTGGCTTCTGATGAAATTTGTCACACGTTCAGCAACATGGATGGAGGACAGAGATTGGTACTGTCTTGGCTCGTGTACAAAAGCGGATACCAAAGAATGTTTTCAATGTGATCATGTAATCAGAGGGATTTTTTGTGGCTGACGTTATCAGTTTTGATCAAGTCTGCACTGCTCATGTATCTTACGTCACTGTTGTCTGTCATTTGTTGCTGTGAAAGGGGAAGGCAGTTTTTTTTAATTGAACATTAAAATTATAAATAAAAAATTATATTTTCCTTTAACATTTTAAAGCTAATTAAATTTATAATTCATTTTGCTGTATTACTATGTGGATAATGGCAACTTATCTCATTACATTTTAAAATAATCAGATGATTAATTTCATTTTTCAACACACTCTTCTTTTTTATTCATTTTTTATTATCTGTACAGCTGGAAGAGCAAAACAGTAACATGAAGTAACAGATCAAAAGAACCACAAACTCAGAAAAAACACCTTCAACAGAGATCAACTGTATTACATAATAACAATTAAAAATGTGTTTTTCCCTCCCTTGGTGGATAAATGCTCAGACTGGTGCTCTAGTTGGAAGCGATAGTCGTGTCGATCCAGGAGCGCAGTTGGGAGATGCGGGCGTAGACTACTGGATAACGGGTGTCACAATTGCTTCTTCCCCAGGACACAGAGCCCACCAGAGACCAGACCCCTGAACGCTCACACACCAGAGGACCACCAGAATCACCCTGTGGAAAACACACATTTGAGATTGAACAGCAGCAACACTGATACAGTAATGTGTTTTTCTTGATCTGTCTTCACGCACCATGCAAGATGACGATCCAGCTCCTCCAGCACAGATCATGGCATCAGTGATAGTGCTCTGACACCAGATCTGACTGCACACAGCAGGACTTATGATGGGGATGCCTGTTTGCTGCAGGATCAGAGGGCTCGCTAAAAAATAAAATCAGACCTCAGACTGTTCAGAATCATGTGAAAAACAACAACAAGTAATATACAACAGTAATTCTTGAAGTTCATCTTTGTTTTAGAGGTGACATACTTGTGGTGGCAGTTTGGCCCCAGCCAGTGGTGAAGCAGCGGGTTCCAGGCAGGATGCTGATGGTTGATGGAGCCAGACATACAGGAGAGATACGGGGAGTGAATGTGACTGGAGACGACAGTTTCACCAGAGCAATGTCATTGTTGACAGTCGTGCTGCTGTAGAGCGGGTGAGTGATGACCTGCATATAAACAAAACATGGATGAACAGTTACTAGTGACAGTCAACTTTATAAAATATGATCTAAGGTACAAGCATTCTTCATTTCTGTTTTCATTTTAACACTTTCATGCATTTTGTATTATACACTTTTCACTGAGTTTATAGAATGATATTTTCTTTCCTATAGCCTACAGAATTTTCAGTGCATGAATAAAAAAAAAGTTTATTTTGGCAACTTTTAGAAGGACACATATAGACGACCTCAAGGATTCAGTTTTGATTAAAGAATGATATTCAGTACTTTCAGTTGATCTCTCATTTTATTATTCTGCTCTGAAATCATTAAAGAATGTTACCTTGGAAGCTAGTTTGACCTGGATGGGTTCAACACTGGAGCCACGATCATGTTCTCCAAGAATGACACGGTGATAGCCGACCCTAAAAAGACAAGTAAAGATAAAATGAATAGATAAAAGACCAATAGAAAGCTGACAGAGCATCCATTAACCATGATTGTATGTGATGTTTGTCAGATTGAAGACTCTTACACGACAGCGCAGTGGGCAGCAGTCAGAACCCAGTTCTGGTTGATCAGGGATCCTCCACAGAAGTGGAAACCACTGGGCAGCTGTTTCAAAGGTAAAAGCATTAAAACATGACATTTATTCTTTAAACAAAGCAGACAAATGTGTGTTTGAAAAACAGATGAATTAGACACATTTAGACAGAATTAGTATCATTTACAGCAGCTGAAAAATCTGAGACGTGATGAAGGTCCATCCCATCAGCTCCAATGATCTCATAGCTGAGGAATGTTTAGATCTGTTATCACTGGAGACATTCCGCATCTTCATTGTACAGAGCTGATGTCTTACGTGCAAAGAGGATGATCCATTCTTTGACCTTGAGAAGGTGTTTATGACTTCTGTCTATTTCCTTGAGAAGCATTATGCTTTCACTTCTGTAATTGTATTTTATTAAATGTTTTTGATGGAAAACATTTTTGTTGTTGCTATTGTCTGTTGTCACGTTTAATCCGTTTATGTCTGATGCTGAAGAGGAAGAGAGTGAAATTGTGTAACTTTGCGCTGAAGTGAAAATAAAAGTACTAAATCAGTTTATAACAGCACAAGCAGTTTAGTAAACAAAAACTAACAAACCATCAAACGAGATCTTATAGGACATCTTATAGCCACCGGTAACAGATGGCATCATGTCAGCCATTTTCTGTCAAAATATGTATTTATAATTTACTTTAACTGCACTCCTCAGCAACATTACATGCATTTCTAATGATGCTTTTTAGAAAACACTATAGTACAGTAAACTATTAGGCTATCAAGTTTTACTTATTTATTTTCTTTGGCTGCTGATGAGTTAGACATTTGAACTACGGATATGAGGCATCATTTACAGTGAAAAACAGTTTGTGCAAGTCTCCACAAACTATTGGTGGATTATAGTAGCCTAATTATTGTGCAGTCATTTCAGATTATTCATTTTAAAATAAAAAAGCAGCTAAAAGTGATTTTGGTTTCAGTTTTAGTCATCAATGCAGCTCTGGTATGATTTACATCTAAGATACTGCAGGATGTTCAGTGACAACAACGCACAACAGTGATGTTCACATTGGTCTCTAATAAGCTCCTGGACAGTCCCTGTTCTTGAACTCACTAGTTTGTCTGGTCAGTAGCTTGTTATTGTCTCAGACTGTGCAAGAATTTAACGTTACCAGTTCTGCTTCTGTGAACTGGAAAGAGACAAGGAAGAGACATAATTAACAACTATGCAGCTTATTGTAAATCATTGTTTTGGTCACCAGTGGAAACGCCCAACTTAACATATGCAGTCTGCCTTCTGTTTGACATCCTGATGATAATGAACTTATTGATCATGAAGTTTTGTCATAATGCTCTAGCTTCTACTCATTCTGTAGTCTTCTGTACATCAAAATAGAGAGAAATAAATTGGGTAACAGTTTATTTTAAGGCTCCAGAATAATGCTTCAGTTAAGCATTAATTAATGACTAACTCATTCACAATTAAGCATTAGTTAAGCACAAACACGCAAGTAGCTTCCACATGACTGTGAATACGAGACAAGGCATCGGCCTTGACGTTTCGGGGACCAGGGCGATAAAAAAGAGATTAAAAAAGCTCTGTTACACGCACGACATGCGAATTGCGACCATGAAGTGCATTGTGCGAAACGACTGTCAAAAATATGTAATCATTGTCACAGGCATTACTATCCGAGGGAAGATGAATCGATTCCACGAAGTGCCACCGTTTTAAACCACTGGCGCCAAAATGGCGGATCAGCAGCCAAGCGCTCGCTCATCATCTCCGGTAAGTGATTTTTTTTCTTTTACAAATTCAGACATGTTTAAGGGTTAGTTATCACTAATGACAGCGAGGAGTAATATTACATAGATAGTTTAACTATAGTAGGTAAGATTAGCTCTTAGTGTACATTTAGGTGTTTAAAGAATTAGAATACAGCTGTTTAGGTATGGAGGACCAAACCTGCAGAAATAAAAAACAAATAAATACACAAATAAATAAATAAATGTGTTTATAAATAAATAAATATGCGTGATGAAAGTAGTCAAATAAATCAAATAAATTGGTGACCA